GGAGAGAGAGAGAGGAAGAGAGACTTTTGGCTTTAGGCAAGGAAAACAGCAGAAGCAGCAAAAGTATTTCTTTCTCTCCCCCAAACTCCTCCAGAAATGAGTCTTTGCCGATGCAGCCTCTTGGAGCAGGAGGCCTTGCAGGGTCCCAAAGACTCATTTCTGGCGGAGTTTGGGGGAGAGAAAGAAAGACTTTTGCTGCTTTCCTTGTGTGCAGCCAAAAGCAGCAGAAGAAAGAAGCGGAAAGAAGCAGGCCAGGCGCGTGGGGCAAGAGGGGCAAGTTCCCCCCCTCCACCCTTTCCCCCCTCCCCCCACTACCTCGTGTTGTGCGCAATGCAAGCGATGCAAGCCTTGGATTCCTGCGGGCCATGTGGACGGCACAACCTGGATTAATTTTTGGGGGGGTGACATTTCTCTGCGGACCACCAACATTTTCTCACAGGCCACCAGTGGTTCCCGGCCCATGGGTTGGCCACCACTTCTGCAGGGAGTTGGGGGGTCAACTTGTTTTCCAAAGCATCTGAGGCAGGACAAGAAGCAATGGATGGAAACGAATCAAGAAAGTTGGACTACTTCATCCCTGGAAGCTTTCAAGAAGAGACTGGACTGCCATCTGTCAGAAATGGTGTAGGGGCTCCTGCTTGGGCAAGGGGGGTTGGATTAGATGACCCACAAGGTCTCATCTAACTCTTTGTTAATCTGGTAATCAGCCAAGAAGACCTCCAGGGTCGCTTCCAATTCTGTTATTCTATTCTAAGGAGAGAAGCAAACTAGAACTAAGGAGGAATTTCCTAACAGCGAGGACAATTAACCAGTGGAACAGCTGGCCACCAGAAGTTGTGGCTGCTCCATCCCTGTAGGTTTTTAAGAATAGATTGGGCAACTCTCTGCCTGAAATGCTATAGGATCTCCTGCTTGATCAGGGGGATGGTCTAGAAGACCTCCAAGGTCCCTTCCAACTCTGTTATTCGTACTCGATTATTCTGTTATTCTTACTCAATTGTTCTGTTACTCATTCTGTTCCTCTGTTATTCTATTTGTCAACTAAAAAATACTCCTTTGGTCTTTTGAGTTGCCAGCAGAAAGGGAATGGGGGAAAGCAGTGCATTCCTTAAATGCCTCGGATAATCGCCCTGGCAGCCAAAGCTGTTGGCACACAAGGTTATTACTGGAGAGCCTGATTGATGACTCTTGGCTATGGATGTGTCCCATTGGAGAATATACATCCAGGGGGTGGGGTGGGGGAAGACCAGGGTCAAGGGGGTAATGAATGATATGTCTCAGAGTCGGCTGCATCCAGGTCACCCCGACATGGTCACTCCTAATAAATCTTTTTTTTTTTTTTAACTTTGAGAGATGCAGCTAGAGACTTGTGATTGGAATGGGGTTGGATTTGTCGGAGCCCTGACACTATTATTCTGTTATTCTCTTACCCTGTTATTCTGTTGTTCTGTTACTCTATTCTGTTACTCTATTATTCTGTTGTTCTGTTGTATTGTCCTGTTGCTGAGAAATGGTCAGGCTTTGGGGCAAAGATGCCAGTTCTGACAGCTTGCAGATCCTCTGATGCCCATCGCTTTGAGCTGAAGGGTTGAGGGCACCAACTGCTGAGCCGGGCAGCATAAATTCATGAGCCCCATGGCCTTGTTTTGGAAGCTGATATGGGTATTATTGCCCCACCAGCCAGGTTGGTTGGGAGACCTCTTGGCAAAGCATTCTGCAGAGATTAAATCATCTTTATTTCCGTAGCCGCTCTTGGGAGACTGGGAAACTCAACTCTTTGGGGCTGGGAGACAAGAGTCCATTTAAGATGGCAAAGATGCCGCCACTCAAGGCTCAAAGGACTTTATTTTGGTCGTTTACCAAGGTCCACTCGAGAAAAAAAAATGGGGTCAGCGGAAGCCAAGCTAAATGTGAAAGGCCAGGGCATTGTTCCTGATGATAACAGAACAACAAGAGTTAGAAGGGACCTTGGAGCCAGGGCTGGGTTTCTACCGGTTCTGTCCACCTCGGTAGAACCGGTAGTTCTGAAGAGCAGCAGACATAGAACCGGTTCTATGTCTGCTGATGTTT